AAAAAATGTCGTGATGGACGGACGACGAAGCACTACGCGCGCTACCGGCGATGCTTGACAGTGACGCCCTCGCTACCCTCACCTCGGCGCCAAGATCGGCGCGCGCCACGCTGAAGATGGTGCTTCGACTCCTGTCTGCAGTCTACGGACCACCTTCTGACTGCAGACAGCTGTTTTACGATCGTCAGCGGGGCACCAAGGAATCGCCCCTGGCATACCGCACAGCTCTCCTGGCCCTGGCGAAGACGGCTTTCCCGCGGATGGACGAGGAAGGGGTGAACGCTATGGTGGCTGAGAAGATATTGCTGTTGGCGGACGATTTGAACATCGTCGTCTTGGCGCAAGACGACAAGGAGATGTGTTCCCTGCGGGCCGCACGGCACATCCACGCAAACTTGCTGTCCCAACGTCGCAAGGCCAGCAAGGCGGCGGCCAGGCATACCGTGGCTGCAGCCACCCTCCCATCGGAAGAGGTCTGCGCTGTGGGTCGCCCGACAAAATGGAGATCCGGGGGCCGGCCAGCTCAGGACGGGCCGAGTCACCAGGATCAACCCAAGCCGTCTGGGGCGCTCACGCGGTGCTACAACTGTGGCATCCGGGGCCATGTGGCTTCGGGATGCCAGGCTCCTCGACAGCGCGGTGCGACGCCTCGGCCGGACGACAGCGCCTCTACCCAAGGCTCACCAACAAACTCCGGCAAGTCGTGGCACCCCACATGTTTGGCCTACGCACACACCTGTGACACACTCACGCACTGCAACGAACGGGGGTCAGAAATCGCCTGTCGTTGCGTCGAAAGGTGCCACGATGGAGAGGGCGTTCCAACCGAGCCAGTGGTCTGAGTTGACCCATCGCGTTGTTGCCGCGTCGGCGGGGTCGTCGGACGTTGTGGGGCATATTGATGGGGTTGAGGTGCGGGTCTTAGTTGATACGGGAGCATCGGCGACCATTGTGTACGATTTAATTTATAACATTCTTCCCGTTCAAAGCCATCCTTTGCTCCCCGTTGATGTTCCGTGCTATGCTGCCAACGGGGGCTCGCTGGGCATTATCGGACAGATCCGCGCGTAAATTTGTATTGGGGACATCAAATTATCCGGGCCGGTATTGGTCTCCTCCTCGCTGGCAGTTCCGTGCCTGTTGGGGACGGACTTCTTGGCCAAAATGCCAATTCGAATCTTGATCGACCAAGGCTGCATCGAACTCCCGTCGGGCCGACGTATGATGTTCTTTTCCTCCCCCGCTACTGTTCGTACGGCATTTTCGACGGTACAGGCGCTTGTTGCGAGGACGGTACGCGTATCGCCGGGAGCTCAGATGCTCGTGCCTCTTAGGCTGCGTCGACCATTCGCTAAGGAGATTGGGGATCGGAGTGTTCTGTTGGGACCGTCTAGGGCTGGGGTCAACGGACCTGATTTGATAGCGGCCTAGACCATTGTGAAAGGGGACGGGGACCCCTTCATCGCAGTCCTCAATGTTGGGTTGCGAACGGCTGTGGTTCCTCAAGGGACCGTGCTTGCGCCCGCAACGCCAGTACCCTGTGAGGAACCGGTCATTGGAGAGATGAGCACCGCTCCTCCGTCGCAACCGCATTCGGACCGTGATGAGGGGTGGCTGGATGCGCTTTGCGCGGGATCATCGGACCTGTCCGACTCACAGCGTGATAAGCTACAAACCCTTCTGCGCGAGTTTTCCGACGTTTTTAGTCGACACAAATACAATATTGGCTGTACTAAACTGCTGCGACACCATATTGACACGGGTGACAGTGCGCCAATCCGCAAAAATCTTTTTCGGTTGAGACTCGCTTGGCGGGAGGGAATGGGATATGGGTTGACTGGCAGATGCACCGACATGTGCTGCCCACTGTGTGAACGGTGGTACATAGCCACGCATGCACACTGCTGTTACACACATGTGCCTTTGGCACGCAAGGTGTTTTTTTATGCTCGGTGACATTCACGATCTACAGTGATATCCACCTCAAATGAGCATCTAGGCGGTGCTCATCTCCTGTTTACCACCCTGAGCCTGTGGTTGAAACTACAAATTCCTATGGCGGGGGTGAGTATACCCTTAGGACAAGCACTTGATTTTTGACACAAAGCAGTGCTCATTTCTTTCCACCCCAGAGGGATAATGGGCCGAGTCAAACCCCCCCCACCCCAGAGCAGGAATTGAACTAACCCTGACTCTCCCCCGTGCATCTCCGTCTCCGTGTTCGTAACGCAGGCAAAACGTGCGAGAAGGCCGACCCGTGTGCCTCCAACCCCTCCGCGCACGGCGGTGCCTGTCGCGCCGTGGGCTCACGCTACGCCTGCGCCTGCCGGCTCCTTGCGGTTTTGTGTTGATTTTCGTCGGCTAAACAAGATCTCAGGGAGCTTATGCCCACCTCGCCTGGGGGCCCGGCTACAAGGACTCGTTCCAAGACTCTCCGGTTCGCGTGACCCCCACACACACACACTCCCACGCCGTCGGTTGGTTGTCGCACTCGTCAGTCGTATTGGTCATTGGCTGCACCTGGCCTTTATTGTGCTCACGGGTCTTGTTACACATTGAGGGTGGGTGATGCTGGTGCTGGGAGGGGTTCCCGAGATTGTGTGTTAGTACGTTTTTTTTTCTTTCTCCCTCTTCTATTGTGTTATTGCCCTATTGTTGTGTTCTGTCCCTCTGTTCCCTTCCCCCGTTCGTCACTGTATATAGTGTGCATATTGTACATACCAGTTGTTGATATGTATTTGTTGAGGCGTGCTAGAGGGCTTCGTTCTGTTTTTAGGGGGGAGTTGACAGCCGAGACCGCTGGGTTTTACGAAGGAGGGGGGGAGGGGTGATGTAGAAACATCGCTGGATGTCACCATGTTCTGGGTGCAGTACCAGCCCTAGAGGGGCACGGTGTGCGTGGAGTGACATCGCTGGATGGCAACATGCTGTCAGTGCAGTGCCGGCCCTAGAGGGCACGGTGTGTGTGTGTGCCAATATAAGGGGAAGGTCGGGTAAGGCCATGACACTGGTTGATCGAGGAAGACACGTGACCGGTTTGAATGACAGGGGGACCCCCAAGAGGGGGCTAGGAGGGTCACGTGATTCAAACCCAGGCTCTTCGTGACGGTTCTGGAAGGGGGGCGTGGCCAAGGTCAGAGCCGGCCACGCTGGAAAGGGATCTTGGTTGTCCGTCCCAGGGACGAAACCCTTCGTCTACGATCTCCGGTCTGCGAGTCTTCCAGCACGTGGACCCGGGCAGTATGTTGTTGATCCCGGGTCCGGAGTTAATAGTTACTCAGTAACCAGTGTAGTTAGCCAGGGTGGTCACCACCCTAGGTCGTTGTCTTGTTAAAGGGTGAAGTCACCCTGTTGTGTTGGAACTAAATAAATGCACTGCCTCCAAGTCTAAGAGTGCGACTACATATTTACGCGATCTAACCCAAAAAACCTCTTATGAATTGAAATCTCCCATGCACAATGAAAATTAAAATATTCTTCACAACCTCTGCATTTCTACAATTGCTTCTAGTTTTGTGTTTCTCGAACTGGAATATTAATCCAGCTCCAGGATGATTTACCCCATAGCTGCTCGCGCTACAAGGCTGACGCGCCACTTCAAGTATCAGGGCTGCAAATACTCACCGTGTCGCGACGCATTTAATTAACTGGGCTGGTAACTTTAAATATCACAAGAAATGCTGAGCGCGGATATTGCAAAATAGCTATTCTTAAGAAAACTTTCTCATGTTAGGAAATTTTAGGAGACCGAAACTTGGAACGAGCCCAAGAGGTGACGTCACCGGGGGGCGAAGTCACGGCGGTGGGGCCTGGCAGTACGCACCCCACCGTAACACAAAATAGTCATTGGCGTCGTCGCATGGAAGACACGCGAATGCGTTCATACCGCTCGTATTTATAACGCTCGTCCACACGACCCGTTCGGGAGTGGCACCGATGCGGCTTTCAATGGGACGCAGCAGCAGCAGCCAGCCGCGAGAAGCTGTTCCTCCACAGCTCGAGGGCGCACCCTGCGCCAAGTACGCACTTTTGGCTGACACGACCTCGCAACCTCGCGTGCGCCAAGAGCAGGTGAGGTTTGGAAAAGCGTGTCCGCTGGTGAGCACAGCCAGCAAGGAATGGAGGATCGAGGCGATTACGGGGGATGCCAATCCACCATCCAGACGCGCGCGACGCCACGGCCTCATGGCTCCCTGTGCGTGCGTGCGGCTACGATGCTCAGCTGCGCGTGTTGTAGCTATGGTGCAGGAAATGATTGGTTTATCCAGTTCAGAGTGAGTGACTGCAGACTGCAATATTAAATTCATAGAATATCCACATAGTGGTTTTAGCGCACTGGGCTCGCAATCCAGAGGTCACCAGTTCAACCTCCTGGAGTGGCACTTGAAACAATGGGGAAACGTTTATTCAATCTCCCACCTCTGTCCACTCAGCAGGATAAATGATACCACCACGGTTAGTCAATCGGCCAGGCCGCGTGTGGTGGGGTAAAGTGTGGTTACGACCACCTCTTCCAAGATGTCTGGCAGGGTGGAAGACAAAGACAAAAATACCCACCAGAGGAGCTCTCTCTGGGGGGTATTTTTAGCCCCACAGTAGACATGAGTGGTCGTTATGAGGCTACACAGCTGAATAACTTTAAGTCACCAACTGACAGCACATACCAGAATATGTGCCAGACAAAGTTCAAATAACCAGTCTCAATCCCTGGTAAGGTTCAATGGCAGAAAGGCACGTGCCACAGCAAGGGTGAGTTGCCTGACTGACGCGTCACGACTGGCGCGTCCCGACTGGCAGCTCCTGACAGGAACTTCCTAACTGACGCGTCCTGACTGGCAGGTCCGGTAGCACACGACAGCAATACCGCTCCCCCCCTTACTGCGCAAACTCAGCAGGACCCTCCTGAAAAACGAGCGGAGACTCGGCGAGACGGCCCTGGGAAAGCGCGCCGTCGTAACGGCAACCCCGAGTGCGACGCCGCGGCACGTGGTAGCCGTCACCTGGCAGGCAGGAGCAGTCGTAGGCCGTGTCGCCCGTCTGCCGGCAGGTGCCCCCGTTGAGGCAGGGCGACGGGGCGCAGGGCACGTACGCCGTCTCGCAGTGGCGGCCAGTGTAGGCAGCGGGGCATGCGCACGCGTACGAGCCCGGCACGTTGGCGCAAGAGCCCCCGTTGTGGCAGGGCCTGGCGGCGCACTCGTCCACGTCGGCGCGGCACATGGGCCCCGAGAAGCCGGGCCGGCAGGCGCAGGCGTAGCGTGAGCCCACGGCGCGACAGGCACCGCCGTGCGCGCAGGGGTTGGAGGCACACGGGTCGGCCTTCTCGCACGTTTTGCCTGCGTCACGAACACGGAGACGCACGGGGGAGAGTCAGGGTTAGTTCAATTCCTGCTCTGGGGTGGGGGGGGTTTGACTCGGCCCATCATCCCTCTGGGGTGGAAAGAAATGAGCACTGCTTTGTGTCAAAAATCAAGTGCTTGTCCTAAGGGTATACTCACCCCCGCCATAGGAATTTGTAGTTTCAACCACAGGCTCAGGGTGGTAAACAGGAGATGAGCACCGCCTAGATGCTCATTTGAGGTGGATATCACTGTGGATCGTGAATGTCACCGAGCATAAAAAAACACCTTGCGTGCCAAAGGCACATGTGTGTAACAGCAGTGTGCATGCGTGGCTATGTACCACCGTTCACACAGTGGGCAGCACATGTCGGTGCATCTGCCAGTCAACCCATATCTCATTCCCTCCCGCCAAGCGAGTCTCGTACCGCCTCACGCGATCGCCCTGCGGTACTACCCAGGCTGGCGTGTGGAACGTACCACTCCACCCGAGGAGGCAGTGGCACTCGAATCTGTGGAGGGAGAGCAGGCGGCATGTGCCGCCGTTGTGGCACGGCACACCGAGGCAGGCGTTGTCGGCGGGGGTGAGGCACACGGGGTCCATGAAGCCCAACGGGCACTCGCAAGCATAGTCCGGCACACCACCCCGCACCACGGTGCTGCACGTGCCGCCGTTCTGGCACGGCGAGCTGGCGCACCGGTTATCCAGCTGGCAGTAGATGCCCACAAAGTTGCGCTGGCACCTGCGCATCACACAAACCACAAAAGATATCAGGGTTAGGGTGACGCACAAACAGCAGGGTCAGGGTGATGCACAGACACCAGGGTCATGGTGACGCAGAATGATAAACAGAAGGCAATTTAAATTCGATCGATCGCCGCTTTCGGCAGCTCACAGGAGAGGTTGGTTTAATTTCCTGTTGAGGAGCTGGCGTTGGGCAGCAGGGAGCGGTGCCACTCCTCCCGTGTCCTTCTCTGCAGTCATTCGCCAGTTAAAGGGCAGCAGAGTGGGTGGTGGCCCAGTGGTAACACTCTCGCTTCACAACAACAAGGGCCTTGGTTTGGTTCCTGACTCAGGCTCCCTTCTGTGTGGAGTTTGCGTGCTCTCTCCCTGTTCTGCATGGGTTTCGTCCAGGTTCTCCGGTTTATTTCCATAGGTAAAGAAATAAAAAAAACAATGCATCTGCCATTGGTCTAACATATCAATGCTGAAAAATTACCCAAGAAAGTCATGAAAAAGTGTCGATGCCTAAGACCCATCGAGACTCCTTGCCTTAACAAACAATAAAATAATAATGACTACGTCATAAAAACACTTCAACTACAGCATGAGCGATAGAAAGCGAGCACCGGGTTAGGCCACAACGCAGGGCCACATTAAAAACACCCAGAGCGCCCCACAACGCCACGACCGTATTTTCGGTGCACAGAGGAGGAGAAGGAATCCAGGGGTAAACGTAGATTGGTGAGTATTGCGAGGCCCCAGGGTGCGTGTCCCTGTCACTACCCCCTGACTTATGCTGCAACGGCAACTCGCTCCTAACTAATGCAAATCTCAAAAAGCTGCTTTCCTTAAAAACCAAAACTTTCATCAGGACGCGTCCGAAACAAAACACACATGGAATGCACAACAACAACAAAACACATCGAAGTTTCTCCTGGGCTGTGTCGGGCGGAGGAGGGTGCATGACACACACACAACCATCGGTGAGGAATCTAGCCGCCACCGCCGGTGGCAGTCGCCTGCGCATCGGCTTCTGTGGCAGGTTACGCGACACGCCAGGACGCACAGCGAGCGAAGTGTTCTCATCATTGCACCGCGTGCGAACAATGGAAGGTTTGGCCTTTCCCAGCCATTGAGCCGATTACAAAACGACACCGAGGAGACTCCAGGGCTTCGCCGTCATCCAAACCACCCCAACGGCAGCCAACGTCCTCTTTCAAACCCCACGCGCTGTCACCCACTGCAGCACCAACGACACAACCAATCATACTAAGTCTTCATCTTACCCCCCGACCCTCTTCCTCCTCCCCCACAGCCTGGTCTCACCAAGACCACACGAAGAAAGTAAAAAACACCAAGACGTACGAGAGCCAGCAATGCCTCACAGGAGAACCCCCAACACAGAACTACCCGGGGTGGCTCGGAGCATGGGCGCTCGCGAGCTTTGCGCTCACCCAGCGAGCCTCGCGCTCAGCCAGCGAAACTCGCACTCAGCCAGCGAACCTCGCGCTCAGCCAGCGAACCTCGCCAAGGCAGTACGTCGTGGCCACCGGTTTCCGAGCGGAGCGAAGCAATGGAGGCAGCCACCACAACAGCCGATGGCGTGGCTGTCTCCACAGTGCTCGCTCCCTCCTACGGCTCGGTATTCCGTTAGTGGGTTCGTCCATAAGCCATTATCCCTTTCTTGGCCAAACATCCCAACATCGGACCACAGAACTTGGACAATTTTGTTGGCCCCGGTTTTGGTTGCCTTTGCCCGCGCTTGTCTGAGGCTTCCCGTGCCTTTGAATCCTTCTCTCTCTCCCTCTGAGAGTCAACAACTGTGCACATTAGAATTTCTACGCAATTACGTCATTGTCATTATGATTATTACCATGTGTTCTGCCGAAGCCTACTGATGACTGTTCTGACAGTCTGTAAATGTTGTGGCTTGGCTCTCCAACACACCAGTGTGCTGTACGAGTGACGAATTGGCATGTTCTGTTAACGTGACAACCCTTACTAGTTGGCTGTCGGGTGGTGGCGGGTTTTAACGACACATTTATATATTTACGCGATATAACCCAAAAACCTCTTATGGAGTCTATAGATGTCTTATTTGTTACTGCTCTCCAATGCAAGCGTCCCTCTCTGCGTGTAATTTAAGCGCGCGTCCTCTGCGCGCTTCTTTTGCGCACATGTCAGCTTTTGTTCCCTTCTCTTTGTGGGCACCGGCTATGCGATGTTCCTCTCCAGCCTCTTTTCATCACCAAGTTCCACATGGTCAGAGACCCGGCTCGCGCCCTCCCGCCCGCACCCTCGCCCGCGCCCTCGCCCTCCCGCCCGTGCCCTCGCCCTCCCGTCCGCCCACGTTCTCGCCCGCGCCACCCTCCCACCCACCCGCGCCCTCGCTCTCCCGCCCACCCTCACTCTCCCACGTTCTCGCTCTCCCGCCCGCGCCCTCCCGCCCACGCCCTCGCTTTCCTGCCCGCCCGCCCTCACCCTCTCCCGCCCGCCCTCGCCCTCTTGTCCGCCCTCGCCCTCCCTCCCGCTCTCCCGCCCGCCCTCGTCCGCCCTCGCCCTCCCGTCCGCCCTCGCCCTAGCAATCCCGCCCGCCCTAGCCCTCGCCCTCCCGCCTGCAGCCAGTCTGCTGCAGCAGCAGAATGGCTGCATCAGCACAGCAGCATAGCTGGCTTCAGCAGCAGCAGGTCTGGAGCAGGCCTCGAGAGCAATGAAGCCCACTCCTCTGCCACAAACACACGTTCCTTCGGAGTGGGCAGGTAGGAACTTGGTTGGACAGCGCTTTCGTGCGATCCGTGTCACGCGGCGAAAGCTGCGTGGGACGGCGCGTCACGTGGTGCTGAGCCCGCCCGAAGCGCTCTATGAAATACAAATCGAGGGCATGGCTATGCACGACAGAGACAAATAACCCCTGGTGGGCAGTGTGGAACCTGTTGTTCCTACCTGTAACATCCCCTTAGGAAATGCAGCCCAACGAACGACTGCAGTTTGTCCAAACAACATCTCGGGGAACGAGTTATTGGGAAATCTGATTTTCACGTTTAAAATTCAGCAAATGCAATTTTTCTAAGCTTCGATAATAAATATTGTTTATACTGGTAGGAACGAAGTGGACCAGCCTACAATAGATTATTTCGTCCGTCCGTCCGTCCGATGTCCGATTACGTGTAGCAACATCGCCCCCTACTGAAAACACTTGGCATGACCCTACAAAAACCTTTAGACTCTGTGAGGCTTTCCTGGCTAAACAAGTGTAACATTCCCTTATAATTCCCTCAGATAGCTTTTAATTAAAACATTTAAATTAATGAGGCTTTCCTGGCTAAACACGTGTAACATTCCCTTATAATTCCCTGAGATAGCTTTTAATTAAAACTTTGAAATTAAATAAAAAACTCACAGCGCCCTAAAGCCTAGAACTAGGCCTCACAGTCTCCCTTCGTATCGTACCGCCGCGTGTGTGAAAGGGAGTTAATGTTTAACAATGTTACATTCCCTGATGTTTTAAAATAGAAACATTTACATTTAAAGCTTTTACATTAATAATTAAAACATTAAAATGATACATTAATAATTAAAACATTTAAATTAAAAATTAGGTCACAGCGCCCTAAAGCCTACAGCTAGGCCTAAAGCCTAGAACTAGGCCTCAAAATCTCCCTTCGGATCGTCCGATTAGGTGTAGCAACATCGCCCCCTACTGCAAACACTTGGCAGGACCCTACAAAAACCTTTAGACTCAGTGGGGCTTTCCTGGCTAAACAAGTGTAATAATACATTATGTTTATATTCTTTGGTTATTCGTTCCTACCAGCCCACCCCGCAGGGTCCTGTTTCTCCCTGCAGTGCTTTAAAAAAAATTACAACTCAATATTTTATTCATAGGCTAATAAACTGCCCCAGGGTTGTTAAAACGCATGGGTTGTTATTTAACGTAGAATCTCATTTATAATAAGAGCAAAACATCGATCTAAGCGAGCCGAGTGGGTTCATCGCAGCAGCCCGCACGTCTGGGAAGCAGGGCTGGAGGAGTGGTGGCGGCCGCCAGTCCAGTTCACTCCGGTGGAGGAAGCCATGCGGGGAAGCCACGTGGAGGGGGATTCTTGTGTTTCCCAAGTGGCAAGAGAATGTCATTATTTGATCACTGAACTCGTTTGCCCGGGAGAGCCTCATTTTTTCTCAAAACTCTTTTTCAGCAGGTTCCTTGCAAAGTTTTTTGTTGCAATACGGCAGGCAATATTTCTGCTGTGTGTTAATCCCAATTGAGTTATTTGCAGGTTTATTTTTTTATCATTGGGATGTTTGACCAATACCGGTGACATTGTGTTGCATGTGTGTCTTTAGCTAGGGCGCAGCGGTAGTGTATCGCATAGCACGCTGTGCTACGAACCCGGTGACCCGCGTTCGATTTCCGCTCACGGCACAACACCAGTGACAATAATCTGAACTGGTCGTGGGCCCTCCCCTAGGTCGACTCAGCCTCAAACGAGTACCTGGTGCAGTGTGTTAACATCACCACTGGGGAGACAAAGGCGGTCGGGTGTGGTGCTGCCCACCCACCCCCTCGTGTGCAGTTCCGCCCTTCATAAGGTGCCTGCTAACAGCACCTGCCCCAACAGTCTGTTAGGCCTAACGGGGTATCTTTGTCTTTTGTTTAGCTATGGTAGGAAAGCGGAGATGCCGGAGGAAACCCATGAAAAACGGAGGAGGGAAGAGCACACAAACTTCATGCAGAAAAGTGCCCTAGTTGGGAATCAAACCCAGGCACTTCTTGCTGTTTGGGGCACAAGCGTCACCACTGCGCCACCCTGCCACCAAATTGTGCCAACCTGCGGTTCTACAAGCAGCAGTCACCGTACACGGGCGTGGAGGGTCCACCGGGCCGTCCCTCATGCTCTGCCGCTTTTTTTCACCGGCACGGTGTATCGGCTCGTTTCCACCGGCGACCGAGGGCACGCGTCCTGCCGTGCGCGGGTAAAACACGACGCGCGGGCGCGCTCGACGGCACGTGCCGGCATG